TGAATTATAGAATTTTTGTTTTATAATGTTTTCAAGTACGAGAGGCTTAATAAAAAACAATTTGACCTACAGTCTTACATATATAGATTAACTTCCAGAGTTGAAATAACATAGTACACATGTAACACAAGTACAAAGATCTTGCTTATTATTACATAAACTGTTAAAAGAAATCTGTTCAGCAAACTTTAGCTTAAAAAAAAAATAGCTCACTATAATAAATATTTGTTATAAACTATTACTATAGTACTTTTCTATACCTTATACAATTTGTTGGAAAAATGTTAATATACATTAGCTATTTATATAGTTTCGTAATATTTATAGTTATGTATATTTTTTTGTTACAGATATTTTTTAATCCTACATCTATCGCATAAATTTTCCATCTCTATTTAAACAAAGTATTACTTTAGACGTTAGAAGTAAGAAAATGGTCATGGAGGCATCCCCATCTCCGCAAAATGTCGGTCGTGAATTCGTCCGACAATATTATACTTTACTCAATCAAGCTCCTGCACATCTCCATAGGTAATTTATTATATTATCTTGTATTAATATTACGCTAATACTGTCTTGTTTACATAAATGTTATTGTAGGTTTTACAATCAGCATTCTTCCTTCGTGCATGGAGGATTAGATTCCAATAGAGAATCGACCCCAGCAATTGGTCAAAAGCAAATCCATCAGAAAATTCAACAATTAAACTTTCGTGACTGTCATGCCAAAATAAGTCAAGTTGATTCGCAGCTGACTCTTGAGAATGGTGTCGTTGTACAAGTGAGTGATAATTATACATAAGTGTGATTATTTCAATCCAAATTTTATAACAAGTATACAAATGAAAAAGGTAATCGATTAACATTTTAAACACTTGTATATAGGTTAGAAGTTAACCCTTTCAGGATTGATAAAACAATATATACCAGTGGGACTTTTGCAAAATGTGTTAGGACATTTCCATATGTATCATACTTTAATTGCGATCATTCTTTTTTACCAAACCAGTATTTTTTAAAGTATTGGTTGTATGAAAAAGCGTTTGTATATGCAA